CTTTGTAAAAACAAAAATTAACTAATATATGACCATGATCACCTTTCCCTGATCTTACTTTTTATATCTTTCTATTTACCCTCAAAATGAAAGCTTTGTTTGTTTGAAAACCTGCTTTCAGATTTGGAAGTCTCAGCTCTTTAATTTCCTAACTTTCCCCCCTCTCCCACCACCTGTAGTTCTAACAGTGGCAAATTTTGGTAATCAGTATACTTTCAGATGTTTACATTCCTAGGAAAAAGGAGGGTCCCTATACAGAAATCAGTGAGTTCAGCCAAAATTCCAGCCTATTGATTGATCACAGCATCTGGTTTTCTGCACAGAAACCAGAGGGATTGATGAGGTGCATGTGTAAATCAAATGAATGATTGTAAATCAAATGCTTGAAAGTGGCAGAAGGTGGCCTGCAAATAAATTTCTAATGACAAACAGACAATTCTACAGTGTCAGTGAGCTTGTATTTTGAAGTGGGTGGTTTTCAACTGTTTGCTGCTGAACTGAGTATTCAGACAGTTCATGCCTATCTAAGACTTTCCTAGTTCTGAATTTTTGAAGCCACTGCTGAAGTATGTGCCCATTTAGGAGTAAAAGCTGTATTGTCAGATGAAGAAAACTTCCTAGAATGATTTGTAGAAGGGAGATGCAGTTGTTACAGTTGGTGGACTATGGACTGCATTTGTCCCAAAGGACACTGGGGTTTTTTTTGAGATGTGGGGATCAGGGCTCAGTACATAGCTCAGCATTTGAACAGATGTTACTACTGTGTTGACACACAATAGGAAAATTTTAGATGAAGTCACTATGATTAATGAAAATAGAACTGTTTGCCATAATAAAAAAAATAAAATTCAAATTGTGAAATGTATGTGGAGTAGAAAAGAATTACAAGCAGACTGAAATGAAAACTTTAAGTGATCTGTTATAATGGAAGTAATTTGGGTTGGTTTGTCTTACAGGTAAAGAACAAACCTTTCATTGACATCTGCAAGAAGTGACATGTTGTCTGGAAGATCCAAAGTCTGTCACTGAGGGAGCTACATTTGATGTACGTCTTCAAGATTTTTGAAGGTACTTGGGTGCCTGCAGATGGAAGTACGACCCTGTGAAACCTATGAAAATGCCTGTTTCTTCCTGTAATTGCCTGAATGCTTTAAGAGACAAACCTTTAATTTGTAATGCCTGAAATGGCAATAAGATTAAAGTGAAAATAAATAATTTTACATATTGGTGTGGCAGAATTTTGTCATTGAATTGTTTGTGTTATGTAGCCAGATATTTTGCCTGACCATAAATTCTAAATAAATACTTGACTTGGACTTTTTGATTGCTCCCAACTCCCTTCGTCAGAATAAAGGTGGAACAACAAGTACTGGGTGTGTCAAATCTCAGATGTCTTAGGGTACTCCTCTAGTAGTAGAGAGGGTTTTTTGGGGTTTTTTTTTTTGGACAAAACTTGAGTTGCTTCTTGTTAATTTGAAATCTTCATCTTGACACAAGATATACTTTAATCTTGTTGATACATCTGCCTTCTTTCATAGTATGAAGTCTCTTATTAATAATAATTTCACTAACAAGAGAAATTTTCTCTCATCCTGCATCAGAACAGGAGATCTGCCTATGCATTGCATTCCTTAAAGTTCTTTGTAAATAATTGTCCAGTGTTCTTGACTTTGAAAAGTGAAAGTAAGAGAAAAAACTGAGGAACAAGACAGATTTTTATCCTGTCTCATATGGATAAATGGTTGTACCAATGCAGACTTGATTCTGTGTTTTTCCTTAAATGAGTATGGTATCCAATACTGAAGTGGAAAGCAGTAGTTCAAGTACTTCCTGAAAGCATCTGTCAGTTGACAGGCATCAATAATAAATATCTTGTATGATTAGAATTAACTTCTAAATGTATATTTAGACCTATAATAATATCATTGGGGTACTGCAGAAATTTTTTACCCTGTGTCACAAATGATAACACAAGCTAAACGAGGATGTGTTAAATGGCAATTGCAGTAATGCAAAAACCTGTCAAGTTGTGTTGGATCGGCGCTAGATTTCTTTTCCTGAATGATGCAAATACATATTTTTGTTGGTTAGTTTTTTATCACTGGGAGTTTCTTAGAGTGAGTCATAAAGATCTTTTTTGCCAATATGTGTCAAAGACAGTTTCTGTGTGTAGCTCTCAAAACTCCCAAGTGAAATTTCTCAAACTTCTTGTGGATGATTCATCAAAGTGTTTGTTTACTAGTATATATACAAAGATGAGTAACTGTTATAAGGACATATCACCTCCTACAACTTTTTACACCCTTCCAGCACCTAATTGACATGAAGTTCTAAAGCAGATTCTTGTAAGAATGATTTGAATACATTTTTTTCCAGTGAAAATGAAAAATTTTACAAACCTTAGTGTAGTATGTAATTTTTCACTTAAGGATTTTCCCTGATTCTGTGTCACATGTTAATGTTTCCTCTGTTGGTATGTCAGTAGTGACAATAAACCCCATGCTATACACCAGCCTGACATGTTGGCGTAGGAAAAACAGCAGCCAGTTGTTCAGGAGTATGAGTAGATTTACTTTGATTAAGACAAGAAACCTTTAGACTTATACCAATGTCATTTTTGGGGGTAATTTTAGTGCCCTTTTACAAATGGACACATTGGTAGCTGGATCATGTCAATACAGGAAAGCCTTGGGCTTTGGTGTTAAAAGCATTCACTTTTGCTGAGTTACAGTGGGAGAGATAAAGGTGAAATTTTTCTGTAATGTGGGCACATAAATTCAGATGTGCAGGTATCCCTCTCTGGCATCCACATTTGTGTGGAGAACCAAGGCCTCACGAACTTTATTGGCAAAAGGCTCAATTCAGTTGCTTGAAGGTAGGCATCTGGTGTCATCTGAGACACCTGGAATTCCAGCCCACATGCTGCATGGGCCTGGCGTAACTCACAAACTGCAGGTAACACGTGTCATCCTCAGCTGGGAGCTGGAGACCAGTTGTCTCCTCTACAGTAACTCACATGCATTAAATGCCTTTGTTTAGCAAATAACTTGCCTCAGAACTCTACAGATAAAATAAGAACCAAATTGCTTTGGTTGCATGCAGGAACCTAATTGAGATGCCTTTCTTAGTCTTGAGCTCAGACCTTGCTGTTATTTCTGGAATACAGGACCTTACTGCAATGAAGACTGCTTGTTTGTACTTGGAATTCCCTCTTTTCAATTACATATGAATTTTTTTTTATTTGTTGAGATGAAATAAAACTAGACAAGATGGTATTTTATTGAACATGGCATTTAAGTTTCTTTTTGGGTACTGTTTGTAAGCTTAGACTGCTAACTGGATGGAGAGGGGTCATGTGCATGTAGCGCTTGTCATCCTGCTGTAGAGCTGTGAGGTTACAGTGGTTGCTTGCCCATTCTTGGGCTGGAGGGCACACCTCAGATACAGGCGACGATACCATGACTTGCTAGGGAATCAAGTATTGCGACTTGCAGGTCTTACAGCATCACAGAATATCCTCAGGTAGAAGGGACCCACAAGGATCATTGAGGTCCAGCTCCTGGCCCTGGACAGGATACACTTAGACTCATACCGTGTGCCTGCGAGCATTGTCCAAATGCTGCTTGAACTCTGTCAGGCTTGGTGCTGTGACCACTGCCAGTGTTCCTCCACCCTCTGGGTAAAGAACCTTTTCTTAATGCCTGACCTCAGTCTCCCCTCATACAACATGATGCTGTTTCCTTGGGTCCTGTCACTGGTCATCAGAGAGAAGGGATCAGTGCCTGCTTCTCCTCTTCTCCTCATGAGGAAGTTGCAGACTGCAATGAGGTCTCCCCTCAGTCTCCTCCAGGCTGAACCAACCAAGTGACATCAGCCGCTCCTTGTTTGGCTTCCTCTGCAGGCCCTTCATGATCCTCATGGCCCTCCTTTGGACATTCTTAAATAGCTTTATGTCTCTTTTATATTTTTGTGCCCAAAACTGCCCCCAGCACTTGAGGTGAGGCTGCCCCAGTGCAGAGCAGAGTGGGACAATCCCCTCCCTTGCCCTGCTGGCCATGCTGTCCCTGATGCCCCCAGGACACGGTTGGCCCTCCTGGTTGCCAGGGCACTGCTGGCTCATATCAATCAACTAGGACCCCCAGACCCCTGGATGTGAGGGCAGTTTGGCTGCAACCCCTGTCCCCCACTGATGACCAGGCTGATTGAGCTGACCCGGCTGGCCCAGTGGGTGTCCACCTCCTCCTCCATGCTCCAAGTGCATCCCTACCAAAGCTGCACTCTGGTTGAAGAGGGTGATCTTCCCCATGGAGATGGGGATGTTCATCGGTCAAGGGGATACAGTAGCCCTGGCCCCTGCTAGAACCAACCTCCAAACAAGCTCAAGGTTTATGGCTATTTATGCTGTAACTGCAGTTTTTTGAATGATTTTGCGGTGACCTGCCAGAGATCTAAAGAAAATATATTCTGAGTGGTCAGGACATAGAAGTTGTGCAGTGTTCAGTCTAGGGATCTGTAGTGACAAGAGATAGGCAGATATGTTTCCTCTTGGGAGGGTAAGGGCTAAGAGTCTGTTAAGAGAAGACAGCCTTGTCTTACTTGTGAGCAGAAAATATCCTGGGGGAAGTTCTGTACTAGCACAAAGAGTTTTTCCTATGTTTATTCTTTTCATGAATGACTTACAGCTTCTCTGCCGACATGTGTGAAAATGTGTGTTCAGGTTCATACTTCTGCTTTTGTAAAAGGAGACCACAACAGCAGTAAGTAATGGTTGTTTATTAATGCAGTAATAAAACTTTTCACAAATATTTAGTCATACATTCAAGACATACTTTTCTGTGACAATTTGGACTGCCACAGAAATAAATAGTTTATCATAGTTGTCTTATTTCATTTTTTAGAATGCATCATTTCACTGAACTAGTCACAAGAAGAAAAGGTAATAAATGCAGTTTTCCAGATTTTAGAATGGATAAAGTGGAAAAGATCCCATCCATAACAAATGTTATCACATCATAATTTCACCTGTACACTGCAATATGAATGTTAGTGTTATGAAAGACAATACAACATTAACATTACTTGGAACCACAGCTTCTAGTTGTTATTGAGGGCCCACCATGATGCTGAAAGAGAGCAGAGTTTATTTATTTCTTAGCATAAATTGCATTTCTTTTTTGACCTCTGGTAAAAATTCTAAATAAAATACCTATAATGTATATGATTAAATGTTTGTTTATATATGCAGCTAATACTGGTGAGAAAATATACTCAGAATACTGGGAGAGCTGAGTGTAAGTGGTGGGAAGGTGGCTTTATCACAAGAATTATATCTCTTTTTGATAACATTCAAAGAAGCATTAATGTCTCATAGGTGCAGCTGCATAGAATTAAGCACCCTGACACCAAACCAAATAAATCCTCTGTCCTGTGCTGCTGTGTGTCAGTTTTTAAGCCAAGCAGTGTGTTCCCTGAGTGGTTGTGTTAGCTTTAATGACTCACTTTCCTGGTGGCATTATTCAAATCTGATGGGTTTTTTACACAACTCTAGGAATTAATAACTTTTTGTCCTCAAAAGTAGGAGAATTGATGGACTTGTAAAATGTCATTCCCATAAAAAGTTCTGTAATTACCAGATTATAGGTAGTGCTGGGGTGAAACCAATTTGTGTTTCTTCCCCACAGTCTCTAGCCTTTGGCCTTTTGAAATGGGACCTTATGCAGAGACTAACCACAAGATTTATGGAGAGAGATGGGAAGGAAGGAAAGGAATTGTGACTGTATCTGAGACGCCAAGTGCCCTTAGTAAAGGGGTGTTCTAGGCTACGTAGTTGTCACACTACACAAATTCATTAGTAGAACTTATTTCTTATGTATGTATCCATAAATATTTCCATTAATGCTATTTTAATGAAAATAATAAAATAATAATAAATTATTATAATTATAAATAATTAATTATTATTAATGAAGAAACATGATGAGGAAAATAGTCAAGAGTCCTGCCTGCACTTCAGCCCCAAAAATGCCAATTTAACTATTTATTTCATGGGTTATAGTGTTATAAGTGTCCAGTGGTTTCCCCTTATCTTGTTTTCTTCGCCCAAAGGTTCTTTAGAGTCCTCAAGTCCAGATGTTGTATAAAAATGAGACATTCGCTGAATGTGAAATGAATGATTCATGCCACCCTGGCAGACTGGCTGAAGAAACCGGGTGAGTTAACAGGTGTATGAGTGGTTATAATAGCTTGTGGTTCCTCTTAACTGATGGTAAATTAATTTTCATTCTTGGCCACATAAGTGGATCCTTACTAATTTTAGTTAATTGGTAAAGACTTCTATGTTGTAAACTTTGAATGAATCAGATTCAGGTTACAATTTGCAATTGATTCAGTTTTTATCTACCCAGATGTGTAAATGAAGTTTAGAAGTTTCTCAGCTAGGGTAAATTTGTTTTTAGAATAGAGCCTATCTGTGTTCTAACTGCAGAGAGGTTTAGGGTTTTTTTTTCCTTCTGATTTTACAATGATATCACTTTATGGTGTCTAAAATTCTTTTGTAAAGTGTACGTGGACTGCAGCCATCATTTTTTACTTCAAGATCATTTTCTGTCTTTCAAATGCAAATATGATTTGTATAGATCAGTTGTGGGAAGCTCTTTCCATGAAACAGAGCACAGATTTCTAAATTACAGGAAATGTATAAAATTGTACAAAGAACTGTGAATGCATTAATTCCCATTGCCCTCACTCACCCCCCAACCCCAGCAAGGAGCACACAGTGAGAAATGATGTTTCTATGGTAACTGTCTGCCAGGACAGAGTGCTGCAGACTGAAATCCTTCTTAGCAGGCAGAGTAAATGCTTTAATGAGTACTTGGAATCCAATTTCAGACACTTCCATATTCAGGTACTTAAAAATTATGTTTACATTTTATTTTATGTTAATTGTACTTTGCTCATGAATAAACTACCTGGAACACTGCTGGATCATGTGCAGTCTCTTGGACAGAAAGAATTTTGGGAAAAGGCTTCATTATTTCCTACAATCAAGTTTGTCTTAAATCTAGCAATATCCCAGTAAGATACAAGATTTACAGAGATACTGGGTTCATTAACTTCAATCTCCTAATTCTGCAGGAGTCCCTGGCATATAATTTTGTGTTCACATCAGGCTCATGAGATCTGAAGATGTCTTGGCTGGTTTCTTTTAAGGACAAACCCTGGGTACACGACTACATTTATTTTTCCACTAAGTGGGGTTCTATTATTTTAAATTTAGTCTGTCCTCAGACACAGAGGAAATTAGGGCTTCATTGTAATACATTTGTGTTCCCTAAAATAAAAAAAGCTACTGTCCTCTCTCTGTAAATATGGGACTGATGTTTTCTTTGCTTTATCCTGCACCTGTACTGTGTCTTTTAACTCTTAATTCTAGGAGAAAGATGTTACATGCCCATTGGTTTGTATTAAGAATAATAATTTGGAATCTTTACCACTTTTTTTTTTTTTTTTTTTTTTTTTTTTTTTAACACACCAAGAAGTGTGTGCGAGTTAGTTAGTAAATATCAATTATAGGTAATTAAGGCTCCCTTCAGTCAATGTAAGGAGGAATAAATTGGAGTCTTAATCAGAAAGCATTTCTTTTCCTTGAAAATCTTAAATGGGGTCTATTTTGCCATTCACAAATAGTATTGTTTATTCTAGATATTTTCTTAAATAGTGTATGTTGGTGTACCTTCACACTATATAAAATAGAGCACTGTGGGTCATCTCCTTGTTGATGCATTTTATATTTATGTGGTTAAGATAGAAATATTTGGAGTCCTTTTCTCCTCTGTAGTTTACCAAACGTCTGAATAAGGGTGATATTATGCAGTGGTCTTGCATATGGAACACACTAATAGAATCATTCACATATAACAAAAAAATAATGTGAAAAGTTGATATTTACCAGGGACTAGCATTGTTGTGACGAGCTCTGGAGTTTCCAAGAAATCCACATTACTTCTCTGGAATGCCTTGCTGCAATTCATTTGAAGGTGGCTAAATAATTTTAAAAAATAAAAATGTAACAGGTTTTTGAAGGGGCTCAATTTTTTTTAATGAGCATAACATTTTTTTAAGTGAGCGTAAGAAATTTCACAGTTAATGCTGGAGATTCTGTGCTTAAAAACTTACAGTGATAGTGGGAGAGGAGACCAGATAAGCTATGAAGTGCCTGCACGATATATTAAACCCAGGTTTTCTTCTGTGCAGCTCGCTGTCAGTCTGATGCTCATCCCTTGGTGTGACCCAGTACAGTGTTGGCATGTGCCACCAGTATTCCTGAGTCTTTGTGATAGGAAACCCAGTAAAACTGGGGTTTTGTTTGAAAGGAAAGCAACAAAGCTGCAAGAGACTTCTCTATCTCCCTGAGAACAGGTTCTCTCTACAGATTTAGGATCACAGGGTTGGTGCATTTGAGTGCTGTAACTAAATGTAGTTTGTCTCTACTCAATTCCTTAGTCATCTGCCTGCTGGAGGCTAGAATTCAGCTGGTAGGATGTTTAATAATTTCTATTTTGGGCCCAAAAGAGACACTCTGGGAGTCTGCTGGATGGGTTCCTGTGATGTGGATTGGGAAGTTTTGGGAGAGCTCCCCATAACTACTGATGTGTGCTGCAGGCTGGCACATCTTTCAATAATTGTGTCTTTCTGTTTTTTCTTCCTTATCATGAAACTGGTGCTATTGCTGTCTTCCTTGTTTTCTGTCTCTGATGAACTAACATCCACCTAATGCTCTATCTTTATGTCCTCGCTTTTGTAGTCTTTCTGCTTTGAATAATCACTGTTGTCTTTATAGCATTTTTATTTATGTTTCAGTACATTCAAGTTGTTAGCAACTAAAGTATTGAAGTATTATTGATTTAGCAAAAAAAAAGTATTGATTTAGCAAAAGATCAATTAGCAGTATTTAAAGTAATATATACTTAGTCTTTCTACACAATTGATTTCTAACCCTCAAAACTTTATATATTACCAAAAAAAAAAAAAGGAAAGCCACCAAAGTCCTGACACTTACCTATCCCAGGCATTGCTGTTTTCCCAGAACTCATAAACAATGAACTGGAAATTACTCGGAAGCTTCTGTATGGAAACACTAAGAATTTCACAATAGAACTAATTTAATGAAACAAAACAAAATTATTGGACATATACATTCTATTCCTAACTGCCTATCAGTATGAACAAATGCAGTGATTTTTGAAAAAAACCCCCACAGAACAAAACAAGAAAACCAAACCGAATACCAACCCAATTAATAAACTTAAGAAATGTGTGATCACAGTGATCATATACATCAAATTATCTGAGCTTTTAAAAATAAAACCCCTTGTATATTTATTTTTATGATGTAATATTTTTATGAAACTCATTTTTCTTATTGTTCCAATAGTGTAATTTATCTAAACACATGCTAAACAGAAAATTAATCAAACAACTGTTCAGGGAAAATCATCTATTAAGTAGAAGTTATCCTTTTGTATGAGAGATGCATCCAAGTGTCATAGAATTTAGGTGCTTTGAAAGCAAATGGAGTAAATGAAATATACATATTGTGGAGTAAAAAGCCATATAGGCTGACATCTGCTGCAGATACGCTTTAAAAATAATATTTAGAGTACTAGTTACTTGTTCTTAAGTTATTCAAGTAACAGTTTCTCAGGACTGAAAAATGACCACAGGATATCTGTTGATCCTCTACACAGGATCATCCTGCTTATTATCCTGAGCATAAAAGCTTTATAGCGTGTAGGGTACTTATTCACTTGGGTACTCAAATTGGTGTTTAGATAAATAGCATAGAAAGTATATCTACAGATTTTTCCATGTGCCCAAGTGTGAGATTGCTGACCTCACTAATGATGTGCTTGAAAACTGGTCTCACCTTATGCTTCATAATGTAGTCAGCAATGTTTTGTGATTTATTGGTTTTCTCCTGCTGTATGTGAAAGTGCGAGGTAAAATGGCAAAAATATCAAAAGCTGTTAGAAAAAACAAGTCACTGTCAATTACAGCTCCAGCAAAAGCCATCCATTAGGTGGCATTACCGACTTAACAAATGCCTGCAAACTTGGGAAAGAAAGGAACTTTCTGCCACCTTTTGTTAACTTGCATTCTGAAGTCATGTCATCTCTCTTCCCCAACAAATCTGCAGTCACTACAGTGTTTTGCTGGACGTTCATTCTGGGAGGAGGCTGGCAGGATTTCTTATTGGGGACTTTTTCCTTCTCTTGGCCAACAAGAGAAATTTATTTTCCTCATCAGTCTGCCTTTACAAGTGAACCACTGCAGAAAGATCATTCTTCTCCCAGCTTAATTTTTCTGGTCTATGTGAACACTGCTGATAAAATCCTAATTGTGATAATCTCATAGCAACAAGACTCATAAATTAGGGATGTAATAGGCAGTCTTTGAAGCCCTTGACTAGATGGGAAGATTCTGTGTCATGTGCACATTACAAAAATACTTTTTCATAATGGTCTGTAGTATGTATGATAGTAGATCTCTCCAGTATGTTAAATTCAGAAATTAAGTACAGTGGTAAGCCACTAAAATTTATTCTTAACCCAGGTCTAATGTTTTACTAATTCTAAAAGGAGCAAAGCAGAAACACCATTTCATTGAAAATTTTGCTTTTTAATTTTTCCAATTCTTTATTATGAATTAAAATTTTACAGTGACAGCCTAAAGGGAAGATTCTGGAAGCTTCCAAGCAGAGAACTGGCAAACAAGTTGATAAGTTGCTCCTTTTCCAGGTCAGCATAAATGAAGGATGGCAAATGAGTTTTCCAGTAAAGAATGTCAGCCTGGGAGCTTCCAGAAGTCATGAAGACCTGCAGAACTAACAAGCCTAAAAAGATTGTTTAGCATCTTTGGGATGTACAGTCATTTTGTGATAGTACCTGAAATCTGCACATTCTGACATCTCTTTCTAGTTCTAGGTGTCTTTAAAAAGCTCTGTCTTACACACACACATAACCCACCAAGAAAGGTGTCATAGGTTCTGTCTTCATAAATAATCCAAGTTATTAATGAAAAAAGACTACATTTCTTCCTTCAGCCCAAAGACAATAACCCTGTACTTACTGCAGGCAGCCACCTTGAGCAGAAGCAGATTCCAGGTACTGCTTCAGAGCAAGACGGAATTCCTCCACTTTTTCTTCTTTCACAGACATTCGGTGCTGAACGATCATTATGTGCTGATACAAAACCATGACAATATTACTGCCACAGCTTCCTCTAATTCCTTGTGCTTTAAACTCAGAAAAGTCTATCATGAAACAATAAAACCACAATCACAGAAGAAAACCCGTAAAAGTTCCCTTGAAGTTTGCAGTCTCTGTTTTAGTGATCTGGAGTGGGGAAGTAGAAATGCTCAAGCATGGCTTTTATGTTTGGGCATGAGTGTCCACTTCAGACCATTGTCCTAACTCTGGAGGAGAGAGTCTTTTCAGAAGAAGGCAAAGCAAAGGTTGATCTTTGAGGTGTTCAGTAATAAAGTCAGTGTGTTTCCTTGGATGAATCTGTATGCCAGCAGGTGTGAGTCTGGGATAAGAGAATATCCCCACATTCTGCACTGGATGCATGGTTGCTTTTGTTAAGGTGCTTTCATAGCTTTTGCCTTTTAGAGCCCTGACCCTCACCTGACTGAGATGTCTAAGATAGCCCACAGTAAGTGATGAATAGAGAGGGGGTCTTCCCTCCATAATTCTGCAGGAAAATGAACAGTCTTTATAAACAGGACTATGGAAATAGTCAGCAATGCAGAAGACCTATCTATCCTGAATTAAAATAATTATCATTTAGCTCTTTCAAGTAGTTTATTTATTGATTAATCTATTGAAGCCTGTCACTTTACTAATGGAACATTTAAAGCAACATTATGTGCTTCTTAATGAGTACAACATAATTTTGGGTGCAGGTTTTTGACTTGTTTCTGCCTTGATTATGATTACTGTTATATCATGGATTATAAGCAGTCTGTGTAGCAATACTGCATAATCTCATTTTTAAAAAGCTAATGCAACTCCTGTGATTAAATAATTTTTCATCTATATTTGATTTGCATTTTCTTAGGTTCAAATGAATGAATGTAGGTTCATTAATTTAGGAATGCTAGTATATCAGTCTTGGGACATAAACTTGTTTAACAGTAATTTTATTTCTGATCACAATTTTGGTTTTGTCGATTGTAATGAGCATGAGATACTCTTCCACTTTGCCTCATAAGATTTCCTATAGCAGTTTTGGGAGAGAGGGAGGCTGTACAACAATGGCTAAAGCATGCATACAGCATTTGGAGCAGAGAAGCTACCACCCCATAAACATTGCTGACAAATTTGATAAATCTTATTAATTTTTCTCCTTCTGTGTGTTAAGGTTTTGGCTCACTTTATCCTTTAAAAACAATACAAAAAGTTAATATAAAAGTTTTGCCCACATATTCTAAATTTTGTTCTGTTGTCTTTTGCACAGTGTATTCTGCTAACTAAAATGGATTCTTATCACTGGAAAAAGTGAGGATAAAGATTTTTTAAATTATTTTTTAACGAAAGAGACCAGGTGTGGTCTCAGTACCTGGTGTTTAAAATAAAATGTCATAATCATTATCTTGAATAGTACTTACAGATCTTGCATTTTCTTCCAAAACTTCCTCTTCAAGTGGCTCAAGCTTTAGGTCCTTTGAGGCAATTGAAAAGAAAATAGAAATTGTAAGAAGAGTCAATAATACAGATGTATTCTGCTCTTACATTTTTTACAAACTATTCCAATAACTAGATTCTGTTCTACCTCAAGAAGTTAAATCCCTTTATTAGTTCTAAGTCAAACACAAATTTTACAAGATCTTGCATGCCTCAGTGGTTAATTCCAGCCTAGGCTGTCTTGTAAAGTTTTATTTATGGTGCTTGGCAGGTGATTTTTCATTTGAACAAATCTGCTTTTTCCCAAATGTTTGTTGGACTTAACTGAAAAAAGACAGACATCCTCTCAAATTGTCACATGGACTGTGGACATGAGCAAGAATGGTAATTTGCAATCAACTATCTGCTACTATTGTGCAAGTACAAAACTTTGCACAGAAGAAACTTCCCTGCAGGGAATCTGTGGTTGCAAGGGGCTATTTTCTAGCATTGAATGAGATGTGCATGATGGTCCAAGTCAGGTTTCTGAACCTGTGTTCAGCCCTTGCTGTGAGAATGGGCTGGGCAGCAGCAAAGAGATGTGTCTGTAAGTACACCTGGTACCCAAACTGGATGTGCACTTCAGGACTCAGTGATTCACACAAACACCAACCAGCAGCACACATAAAATCATTCTTTACTTGCCAGGCACATGCAGTACCTCCTAACACAGTGCCATTATGGTATTCTGAAAAATACCCATGTGCCTGAGGAAAAAAAGCAGATTGATTTGCAATAAGCAGCTGGACCAAAACACACTCTGCTAGTGGTGCTTCACATCTCACTGAACACAGTTCTTGTGCAACAAAGGGAAAAATCTTCTTCCACTCCCAGCGTGGGTGAGGATTGATTAACCTCAGGTAGCAGCTGTTCTGCCAGCACAGATGCTGTACTCGCTGAAAAGCCAACAAGAGATGTGCAGGTAGAATTCAAATGAGCAGAGACCTCCATCAGCAGCAGGTGGCAGAGTGAGGCAGGAGTGAAGAATTCAGAAGCTGCTGTGTAGTCGAAGTCATGAAATGTGTGTGGGAAGGGAAAGACAGCCAGCTTTATTGTCAGTGCAGACACTTCAGATAAAAAAACCAGGGCATAATATGTATTCCTGAAGTGAAAGTTCACTTTCACTGTCATTTTTTTGTCAGGAGACATATGGGAAAAGAGAGGAAAGGAATGACGCAAGGAAGTACTGAAAAATTTCTCCAAACGTAGCAAGAAAATAATTGTTTTCCTTGCCAGTATATGTAAATTTAGAACTTGAGTGGAAATACACAAATTGTAAGACTGATTCAAAATTCCCTTTTGACAGAGCACAGCAGAAGTCTTAGACAACACTAAATTACCCTTCACCAGGAAGCTTTCCAGTAGGAACATTGACTCATAACGTGCTAGCCCCCTCTAGGATCAGAAATCAGAACTGGCAGTTCTTCAGTGGGTTGTGTCAGCAGGCAGAGCGTGGCTGCACAGATGGGGTGGGTCTGCATGGCCAGCCTGGGTGACCTCCGGGCGTGTCCCCATCTGTGGGGACAGAGGGCTCGTGCCCTGGGTGGCTTGGCTCTTGAGCCTAATGGAAGTAGCCCAGTGCAGAACAGAAGTTCTGCCAGCCCAGTACCACACAGCCTGGAAGTAAAAATGGATGCAGCTCAGAGGCTTTAAAATGCCTTTGCAATCCTACCTCACCTCAGCTGAGAAGTGGTGGCTTCTGAAATTGCCTTTAAGCATGACTGTGCAATCCTTTCTTATCTTTTTCAGGACAAAGTCAAAAAGAGGTGTTTTAGTCTGACAGGCAGCTGGTATTTAATGCCTCTCACAGTCAGACATGGCTGTGAGATACAAATTCAAGCAGATGCAAAGTTAGGCAAAGGTGAATATAGATAGGTTGTCTACTGGAAAAATTAGGCTATGTAACTGCTATCTTTTATTAATCAAGTTTTATATTGACAAGGAGGTAATTATGGGAGGTCTGTGCCCTGCTACTGTTTCCCTTTGGCACCGAGCTCCTTTTCAGACTCAGGTTCTCTGACATTTGTCTGTAGGAAATTTGATAATTTTATAACATCCTTGTTGTAAGTTTATTTACCACAAAATGTTTGGCTGCTTTCTGCAACATCTGCACTGCATTATTGCTGAATGCCAGGTTTATTTATTTTTTAAGCAACATTCTTTAAAATGTTTTCTTTTGGCATCAGTTCATGTCAGGCGGCAATTGTGGCACGGCTGCTGTTTCCAAGGCCGAGTGGGGAGTAAAGCCAGACTTACCTTTCATGGTGGACTTTGACATTTCAAAATCCAATTTATATCTATTCACAAAAAGAGCAAGTTGCTAGTAAAATGTCATTAATGTGTCAACTAGTGTGCAATTGCCTTTCTAAGATGCAGAAATGACCTCCAGGAGGAAGTGGCTGGCCAGAGCTCACTGCACTGAGAGACCACGGGGAGCTGCAGAGCACGGCAAGGGGCAGAGTGAGAAGCTGACACAAGTCATGGATAATGCCACAAGAAATGGCCAAATTTCACAGCTGGTTAAGGAGAAGTGATGCGAGAGACTGTCAGACTGCAGGGATAACCAAAGGGAATACTGGGCTCCTTTTGGAGCAAGGCCAGCAGTGCTAGGGGTGGCCACATGCAGCTAATCAGTAATTAGGCTGAGATAACAGAAATACCAAACTGGGACCAAAGGGGAAAGATAATTTGGGGCAGTTTTTTCATTTGGGAGGGAGGAACAGCAGAGAAAGGTCAGTATGCTTTTCTTGCTGAGGCCTGTGCCAAGTCACCACCATTTATTGGGTTTTTTTCTTTTTTTTTTTTTTTTGTTAAAACCTTTACTTAACTATTTTCTTTGTGTGTAACTTGATGAACTCAAGTTGGACTAGTGGTTGAGTAAAAGGAGACATTTTTCTGCCTTGACCCAAAGTCTGAGCCAGTGCCTGAGTAAGGGGTATGGGTCCAGCCACAAATACTAGATGACAATATTCACGGGGAACATCCAATCAGCTAGAAACAAAGCACAGAATCAGACTGTTTCGTGTCCCTGTGGATGCTGGTGAAGAGACCCATGCCAATGTCTCTGGAGTACAGGCAAAGTCTCACTGCTGGTGAGCACTGACCTGTGGGGAGGAACAGCATCAGCTGCACTGGGACTGGAGCTGCTCCTGGGTCTGAGAGCACTTCAACCCAAAACCTCACCTCTAGTGGACAAGGTCAAAATCCACTCAATTCAGCCACTCCCCTAGTATGTGTCTGAAATTGTCTGTCCTTAAGTAGGAACATTTAATGCAGAGAACAACTCAGGAATTTATAACCTTACTTTTTCCTCTGCTGTTCTTCTCAAAAAAGTATTTTCAGCTGGAACATAAAAAAAAAAAAAAAAAAAAAAAAAAAAAAAAAAAAAAAAAAAAAAAGAAATCAACACACAGATTCTAAGACAACTTAGGCAACTTTTGAACACTAGAGTAGCAATCAAGTCTGAGTAATAATGAAGAAGAATTTTCTGTACTGACAGATGTGGTTCAGGATTTTACAAGCACTGGGAAGCCCTGGCATTGTTGATCAGATGGGTGATTTGTCAGACTCCTGGAGGAATCTGCTTTGGTGTGGGAACCACAGGTGGTTTCTGGGCTCTAGGGGCTGCTGCAGCCAGCTCCCAAAAAGATTTGCATCAGATTTTGGTTGAACTGTACTGACAAGGAAAGCAGTTTAATTTTTATAAATTAATATTCTCTGATGGGAAAGGAGGAAACAAAATTTTCTATCACGCTTTCATGGGAAAGTATAGAGAGAAAGAGAAAAATATCAGATTCTAAAAGGGGAAGGTTGTAGCATGCTCCCCAAAACAAACACTACTGAATACATTAACATCCTCCAGTCATAGAATAATCCCATTTTTTACATCTTTATGAAAAGTTCAATCTGTGGTGATGGGAGAGGGAGAGGGAAGCATGGAAAAACAATGTCATGAATAGGAAAGAGGAAGGTGGAAGAAAAATGTAGATATTTAATGAGTGTTAGCTCTCTTAGATAATGTTGCAACTGGGGCATTGAAAACATTTGTGGTTTAAGGATTGTTTTACTGGAAGTGAAAGAAGAAACAGGTGAAAAAGCCCGCACACCTTCTTTTCCAGTCTATCAATTAGCTTCTGGAGTCTGTTTATCTGGATCACCCATTGGCTGTCTTCCTCAATCCAACCTTTGAAAAAGATAAAAGATAAACATTTATAAAATGTTGCTAAGTTGTTGGTAGACAGTGTATTCCTGTATTTTATAAAAAAAATAATTACCCTGCAAACTTTTTGGCTTTTTGAAAGATTGTGCTGCAACTAGTTCAGTGCTCATTTGGGTGAAACTAAAGGAAAGCATGATTTGACTCTATGAATTATTTTATTTCTGCTTAAGATACAATAGAAATTCAATACAGAATGAAAACAACATTCTAGATTAATGCCAGTGCTTCTGAAATCATGCTGGTAATGGAAGAGAGTTCTCCATCTCCACTGCAGGTATATTCCTCTCTGTGTAGTGGCCTGATCATAGAATCATAGAATGGTTTGTGTTGGAAGGGACTACAAAGATCGCTGAATTTCAACTCCCCTGCCACGGGCAGGGAACCTTCCACTAGATCAGATTGCTCAGTGCCCCATCCAACCCAATCTGATGTCATATAGCAAGGGTGGAGCTAGACAGCACTGTCCTAGACAGGCACAAGCATCAGGGCTATGAAGATGGTGTGGTGGGAAGAGGAGAGATGGGTACCCATCTCTTCTCTTTGGTGAGAGTGAGAAGTGACAGGACCCAAGGGAATGGCATCAAGATCTGTCGGGGAGGTTTAGGTTGGATGTCGGGAAAAAATTCTTCACCCAGAGGGTGGCTGGGCACTGGAACAGCTCCCCAGGGAAGTGGTCACAGCACCAAGAGTTCAAGAAGCATTTGGACAATGCTCTCAGGCACATGATGTGATTCTTGGGGATGGCACTATACAGGGCCAGGAGTTGGACTTTGATGATCCTTATGAGTCTCTTCCAACTCAGGATATTCTATGATTCTGTGAGTCCCTCTGATGTCTCTGGAAAGTTTTGCTTTGCTAAGGTCTCGCAAAAACTGTCTGCCAAATGAAAAGGACAACACTCAAGGAAACAAATATGTGCATTATTAAAGAAGTTCCTGACATCACCCACCAGGTAAATATGTACATAAGTGATTGCTTTAAGGAGAGAGAAAGCTTATTTATCAGAAATTGAAGATTTTTCAATAAATGCTCTTGTTATCCACATTCATCAACCTTCTCATTTCCCAGCTGAGAGCTTTTGTGCACTTGCATGTATTTTGACTTGAATTGCGTGCAAGTCAAAATTTTTTGCACTTTTAGGCACTTGCATATATTTTGACCAAAGAAAAAGTCCTAATGCTGAGAACATACCACAGCTGTGGTTGGTAGAGGAGGCAGGGTGTGGCTTTGCCTGAACAGGTACACAGGCTGAAGGAATGTTGGCCTGAGCCTTGGGTGCATATACACACGACAGTGTTGCTGTGCATGTGGGCAGCTGGCAGTAAGAAGGAAGACCAAGTGCCAAGACAAACACAAACCTTGTGTAGGAAAGTAGACAGTTGTCAGCTATTAGTAGAGCTGTGGAGGAAAATGTTAGATCTTTAGGATTACACCAATACAGTAAGTGGATTTGGTAGAGCTTGCATTTGTTTGGGCTCCTTCTAAATTAGGAGTGCAGCTATAAGGCTCTGTGACCTTCCTTGTTAGGAACACCAATTCACAAGAGACCAAACATCATCCTGCATCACTGCTCTCAAAGAACAGCATCATTTGGTGAGTGGCAGGGAGTGAATCATCAATGTGAGGGACAGAAAGGTCCTCAGCAGAGGGTTTAAAAGGAAGAAGTCAGCACGTGGCTGCAAGCAGTGACTGGTCAAAAAGTGAGCTAGACGCACCGCATATTTTGTTGTTTCAGTCATCTTCATGCCGTGACTCTGGGACATGTAACTGAGCACAGAGATGTCTTCACTGCAGCCTCGTGCTTAACGTCACTGCTTCTAACGAATCCCATTTACCAAAGTACTCTATCATTTTCCAAAGCAGAAATGCTGCTGCAGACTTTATTTTGTATTATCTTAAATGAAATTTATTTTCTTTAAGGTTTTGTATTTTCCCTTTCTGTTTATTATTTATTCCCCTCAGCTGAGATGTGAGTCATGGCAGAGAACTTGGTTGCACAAAGTTCCAGCCTTCACCTTTTCATTCATATCTGCAGGCAATACAGATTACCTAAAAACTGTTGAATCAACCCCAAACAAACAGTTTGGCCCACAATGAAGTTTTTATCTTTTATAATTTCCGACCTATGGATATGCATTAATTTTCCTCAGTTTTCAGTTAATATCTTCTATATTAAATTGAAATTGTCTTCTGTCAGTAAAGTATCTGAGTTAGTTACATGTCTAAATTAAATTTTTGAGAGGAAGATTTGTGTATATTTTTCTGTATATATGTCTATATGTTTAAAATGTGAAATACCATACATACCTGTGCTAGAAGAAGGGTTATTTGATGACAGGCTGTTGTTCCTCTGAAGTCTTCGAGCTAAGCGTTTTCCTGGCCACTGAACTGAGAGCACTTCTGGTTTTGTTGGATCTTTTCTGCACAGAAACACAGGAGACTTCTTAAGGAAAAATATGTGGGAGAGTTCTTCTCTCTCTGTTCTCAAAAAATGGGCTTCTATGTTCCTTTTTGAATTAAATAAAAAGAAATACCTATTGAGAGCACTGAATTATTTTCTGGATTTTTACTATTACTCATTAGTTTTGATTAGATCATTAAACAAGTTAAAAGAAAAAAAAAAAAGAAGAGGGTTAAACTCGCATAAACCTAAATCTTTGAGGGAGACAAATCTCAAGGTCAGTATCTGTGCATGCTGTGGTTCTGACCTGACCTAAGTAATCATTTGCAGTTTCTTCATTCACAGGAGTTTTGTAGCATCACTGCAGAGGAACTGGCATGAATAGAGGTGCACAGACACTGTGCATGCTCAGTGCACCCTCAGACTTTCAAAACCTGATTGATTACTACAGTCAAGACGCTGGCACAAAACCAGGTATTACTCCTGTACTTCAGGGATCTCAAACCCAACAGCAAAACAAACAAGAAAATTGCATTTCTAACAGAAAAAAAAAAAAAATTACATTTCCAATAGAAAGGTCTTAAGATCTTCTTTGTCCATAAAATACAACAGATTTTGCTTTCCCTTTTGTCTTTAACAATAGCATACCGAGAAAAAAAAAAAATCCATATAACCAAGTAACTTTTTAAAAATATTTTGATCCTTGATTCTGCAAACCCTCATCACAGAGATCAAGGTAAAACCCTTGGATGGATGGAGGCTACCCAGGTGACTGAGAGTTTATAGAGCTAGATGTTAACCAAGAATATGGCCATATATTCTAGGAAGAAGCTGTGACAAGCAAAAGCCTGGCTATTTCTTCTTTTAACATTTTTCATTGTGCATGGAAAAAAAAAAAGCTGGAAAAAACAAACAAAACAGTCAGTCATCTTAGTAATTTCAGAGCTCTTTATATTGCAGTGATTTGGTTTCTACATTTGATATTAAACTGTCCAGGGATTTAAAAAGAAGTCAGTGGAACCTAGCAGGTACCGAAATGATTGTCCTACAGGCAGCCCACCACAGGGTCAGATGCATTCAATTTCAGAAAAACTCCTATTAGTGGGTTCCTATAGGGAATAAAAAGTGTATCCTTATTTCTCCTGTTATTCCCTGTATCAGATTTCCAGGTGAAATGTGAAGCAATTGTGGAGGTTTGCCGTGACCTCACTCCTCACCCCCTTCCCTGCAGCTGAAGAGGGCTTTGCTCACCTCTCCTGCCGGCTCTGCTCCTCCGTGGTTTCCATGGCACACTCCAGGGAGTTCTGGAGAGATTGCAGCTGGTTCAGTGTCTCCTTCAAAAGAAAGCGAGTCACAAACTGCTCCAAATTGGAAGCTTCCTGATAGTCCTAAGGATTACATGAAAAAAACCCCAAAAGGTCAGGCTTTGCTTACTAAGTCAGAAATACGTGAGGGAAGGTTCAGACTTCATTCAGGAAGGAAGCAGGTTGAATGTTTCCGTGTTTATAAATGTAAACCATGCAAGCAAACTTTGTTGATGGACAAAAAGCCCTCTGAATTTCCAGGTGTAGGCACAACTCCCCCTCAAACTGAGACTCAAATACACAGTGACACAAGACAGTTTCTACTCAAAAGAGCCTTTTCTTCTCCAGTTGATGGCAGCACCACATTACTTCTGAAGTGTGGAAAAGCCAAAGTAAGACTGACAGCTGCAGAACTGAATTTACAGTTTTAATTCAGATCCACTCTTGTGAAAATATGTTTCTCAAGCCCACTGGCCTGTCTCAGACATTGATTATCGGAACAGTCTTTGAGCAGGGTACATGCTTAAGATACTCCCTGAAAAATCCCACCAGCAGTTGGCTGAAGGGCTGTGTGAGAGAGGTTGCCTTCTGTATTTAACACTCTTTGACTGATTTTTGTTCCTTTAATTTGTTTAATTATTTTTGAAACCATATATCTCTAAATTTCACAGTTTCATTAAATGCATCTAAATGTAATTTAAACTAGAGTTTGGTTATTATAAAAGTTTGCACCTGTATTTAGCAATTTATAGTGGTTCTTTGAATAATTACATTTCCAATTTATTGTATGTATCAAAAAATATTTATGCTTTTTTTTTGGTGCAGATAATTTCAGAAATCAATTTTTATGCCTGTTTTCTCCCTGGCCCAATAAATCATATTTCCATGGCTGGGGTCAAATTTGATGTTTCTGGAAAGCCCAAATCTGCAAAAACCCACTGTGTTCCCTTCCAACCATGCCCATTATGTGATCCTGTGATTTGGCAGTTCTGCAGTAAAATGTAGGTAATACTTTGTGAGGGGGGCCACCTTTGCAATAATATAAACACCCTCTTTCTTTTTTTTCTCATTAATAAGTGTAACAGAGAGGATAGAACAGACCCCTAGAGCCTCTGCTTACTGTGCTGAGGTCACATCAGGAACAGGGATAGAAAATAGATTTGCATCTCTTAATCTCTGAATGAATTTGTTGGCTCCTCACTCAGCTGATCTTGAAAACCTTTGGGCACAATTCCATCTAAAACATTTCCATAAAATATGAGGTGCCTGCAATGAGAGATTTCTTTAGTCATCACATCTGAAGAGAGATGATGGTCCCCCACCTCCAAGCTTTAAGGAAGACCTGTCACTTCCATGATGTTGCCTCCTACACTACCTAAGAACCCGTTTGAGAATTTTTGGTATTCTTAAGGTATTCCATGTTCTTTCCAATGTTAATTACAGCTGAAATGCCTTTCTGATTTTTAGATTTCTCTTAGATTTTTTTTTTCATGTATGTGTTTACAATCAGAACAGAAATAGAAGCTGTTTATAAATTTGAAAGTAAAATGAAAGATTGTCAGATAATAGCTTTAAAAGCATTTTGCTCTCGAATGACAGCAATCTTTTCACAATATCTGTTATTCAGTTAGTTCTTGTTGGAAGACTTCTGCTACAGAAATCTCAGGTGTTAAACCACCCATGAATTATCAGAAGTTACTTTGTGGTCTTCTACATTTACTTATTCTGTCTTCAGACTAATCAGCTGGGAGCCACTTTCCAACAAATAATTTTTCATTGATACAATTTTAAAATAGATATTCCTGAGAGATTGTCTACCTAAGGGACTCACAAGTCTACAATAATGTTTATGGCAACCTTCCTATGATTACTTCATCTTTTTGTGCAATAGGAAAGCTGTTATTTTATTGTTCTAAACTGTCTCCATTGTAATTGATTTAAAATTTCAGTGAACCTGATAGATAATTTAATTTCCAAAAATTGTGATTTTCTGTCTTGTTAGAACAATATGTGTGAATCTGTGCAGCATGGACAGATAATTGAAAGCTTTCAGTGGAAATCCTAGGCATAGTTTCATTGTTTTTAAGCTTTTGCCATTGCTCTTGGAAATAAGTGAAGAAATCAACCCAGAACTGACCATTTCTTGTCAGTTTTTGAATTGTATTTTAAAATTCTGGGCATCCAGAAAGTAAATATTGCAAATATCTCCATATTGCTTCCCGATGATACTCATGGCAAGTCTGATACAAGCATGCTGAATTACAACCTAAATGTACATCAGCATTGTTTCATTTTGAAAACTGTTCAGGTGGGCTCTCACAGATATGGGAATCATATAAACAGCTGTGTAATACTTGCTGCTGTCTGAGGCTTCTGCTTTCTAACTCCTTCAGAAAAAAATTCACCTAGAAAAGCTTTCCGGCATCTAAAAGTTAGTAAGATTTTTTTTGTCATTATAACTATTCCAAGTTTGTGCATTGCACTGGGGTTTAGTCTTTTTTTCTATATATTCCTGTCCCATAACTTCTATATTTAAAGGCTTCCCTATGAAAAAGTTTCTTGTGATCTTTAGATATGTCTTAGAGTTACCTTATCAGATTTACAGAGCTATTTTTGAAGATGAGAAAGGTAAGCAGGATGCTAACATCATCTTTGGCGGTCTAGAATTATCAAAGACCTTTTCCTTATGTATATTTTACCCAAATATTAGTGCTTACAACTGTTCTATGTGGAATTACTTAACTCTCTTAATGCACGTAGTTGAGCAAATAATTACAAATTATTTACTGTTGTCTTTGAAGAATTTATGAGTCAAGAAATTCTGAGCTCACAGCAATGTTGGGCAGCTCCAACTCCTGCTCAGTGAAAAATAGCTACTACCTGTCTTTCTAAAGTTCTTCAAAGATCACAGAAGAAGGTATTCAGCATATATAAATGATCTGAATAATTGTAATTTAAGTCATGGAGGGAAAAAGATTGTCCATTACAATTCAGTTTAAACCTCAAGTCCAGCTCTCAGCACTGAGGGGTTTGTAGCCATGCTTTGATATCATTTCACCACTCTATTTCCTTTGAAAAGTACCTTATTTTGTGTTTTATTAGAGGCACACTGGTACAACATTTTTGTATCAATTTATTAAGTTTATATTATAATAGAATCAGCTTAACTGGCATGCCCAGCATTTGTACTGCCAGTGCATCGTGCCACCAATCAGTAATAGGACCCATGGATGGTACCTGTACATAAACCAGAAAAATGGCCCACTTCTTGAATTTCATCAGCTGTAAGTTACTGTTCATTACACTGCACCACAGTTTGGGCAGTCCAGATGAAATAAGTCTGTATTAACATATTGTTCTGCTTGTTAGTTTTACTGAGTGTGAATGAATGAGGGTAATTTTCCACATTTTCCTCATCAAGAGGAAACTGTGACCTTTGCAAGCAGCAAAGATTTGTTTAATGAAAATGAAAATGCACATAATTAGTGATTTCACTGTAGAAAAGGTGACTGTGGTCTTTAAAAATGTCTAAAGGCTATCTAGAAAAGTGCAGAAGAGGTTCTCCTTTTACAAAGGCAGAGGAAGCAGGATTTAGCAATCTCCTAGTGCAGTGCCCATCTCAGGGTTACCAAGGTTCAGCAGCTCTTGATCCTCTCAGTCTCTGGTGCCAGCCTCATCCCTCTCCCCTTGACCCTGCTGCTCCATTTATCACAAGAGCAGCTCCTTGAGATGGAGAAGGAGTGGGACACTTCTTACTGATATATAACTTAGAAATTTTCTGTTTCCTATCTATATGTCATATTAAACATAATTTCACAAAAATATTTATGCTTACCTTTAAAGGAAATACCCTCAAGTCGACGTAAAAGCAGTTATCACTGAGTAGAACTCAGTAAGAAATAATCTATTTAAATTTCCCTTTAACATGGAATGTCTCCTGCCCTGTATGTTTAGATCCCAAATTAGAGGGACAGTGCTGTGGGTTACAACTTGAAATTGAAGATATAAAATTAGTCAGAATAACTTCACTAAAATGAAATCCCTAAGAACTAATTCTTCAGACTGTAGGACAAAATCAAAACAGCATCAGAATAAAATCATAGTTTCACTAGAAGCCATATTGAGAGATTCTCAATGTACTGACATCACACAAATGTAACTTTAACAGCATCCTCTCTGTAAAAGTGATCAAAGACAGGATGTGCCCAATTATTAGATTCAACTTGGAATATAGTACAAATTTTACAAGTTTATCAAAATATTGTATTTAGCATAAATTATGTGTTTAAATTCTTTGGAACAGTGACAATTTTTACTAACTATCTGCAGTGCTGACATAGCAGCAATGAAATAAAATAGGTAGCCATGGCTGATTAGAAAGAAGATTGTCACATATTTGTAATAGCATCTCTCAGAACAGTCTATCACTCCCTGTACTGGGATTACTGAAGGAGTAAAGCACTGTTGTTGCAATAATAGGGTGTACAAAATTCAAGCATGGATAAAAAGTAACTTCTATTTGAGTGCTGTTGGGTGCCTCAGATAGCTTAGAGACAAGAAACAGTTTTGGCTGTGTTTGACATTAGCAGGTAGCAGGGAAATGTGCAACACCCTTGCTCCAGGGAGAAGGCTGCACCACTACACATAAAACATCAAAGCCTCTGGTGGTTTTGATAGGTATCAAGAGGAGAATGGCTAGTTAAATGTTTATTTTTCTGCTGAGAAATAATTTCTATTTAGAGGTATGAATATTAAATTAAGGGGGTTTTTGTTTTGTTTTATCTTTATTTTTGACTAAACACATCTTCTCTGCTGCTGGGAAAAATTTAAGCATTGTATCTTTCTGACCCAGTAGGTATAAAACTTCCACAAAAAAAGATCAAAGAAGTTCCCAAGAGTTTTCATTACTCTGATAAGGAGCTAGAAGAGGAAAGGCATGAATGTCTGGAATATCCTTGCATGACTCCTCAGAATTAATTGCTTGCAGATTTTGAATTTATCTTAGTATGATTTGACTTGCACTAACAGTCACAATCTTAAAAATAAACAAAATAAAAAGTCCAAAACATAATTTAATGTTCCCAGATAAAAAGAACTTTTATTCTTAGGGTCCTCTCTGCCTTGCAGCAGGGTGGAACTGTTGATATATTTAGCATTATCACCAGCATTTCTCTCTTCAACTGAGAGACAGTCAGTTCACTTACTGACTGGAACAGGTTTCTCAGGGAAGTGGTGGCATCATCATCCTTGGAGGTATTTAAAATATATGTAGATGTGGCACTTGGGGACATGGTTGAGAGATGGATTTGGCAGTGTCAGGAGGTTAATGGTTGGACTTGATGAATTTAAGGATTTTTTCCAACTTGAATGATTCTAAACCTTAATGATGCCATGATTTTTGATTGACATAAAAAATAGCAATAAATCTAAAGGAACAAATGAACTGTTTTCCAAATCAGTGCATGAAAATTAATACTCAGGATAAACAGAGCAACACCCATTTTTCTTGTGCAGCAGTTATTCATTGCATTAATTCTGTGAAAGGTGCATTTGTAAAAAGTAGAATTTCAAAGAGAACAAGACTGTATTCTGTGAAAAATGTTAGTAAATTCTAACTTCATGGAAAAATGGGTGCCAGTCAATTTAACACAGTTTTTGTGAAAACAAAAAAGCAATTTAAAACTTCATTTTTGCTCAAATACAATGTTAGTTGTGGAACATCATTCTCAACAAATGCCTATGTAACTTTCTTCCCAGGTATGTTTTGTGATAAAATTTACATAAATACTACTGTTACTCATTAGTCAAATATGCAAGTAAAAAAAAAATCTAGGCATTCTGGTTTATAATGGGTATCAACCCTCAAGATTGCAGTGATCTACATGATTACCATAAATGCACTATCAGTAACTAAATTTCAAGCCCTGTGTTACTCTCTCAGCTCCTATAATCTTCTCTTTTACTTTACAGGCTCCTGTTTTTAGACTAATCAAGAAATTTTCAAGTAATGATAAGGCTGCACTGACTTTGTTTAGCTTTGGTGTTTTTTGAGCAAAGCAGAAAAATTAATGATTTCATAGAAGCAGATAATTAGACATGCTGTGTTTGTCATTAAATCCAGCATCTTGCTGTTGCACACCACACACCCCCCTTTCCATGTTTTTAAAAGCAACATGTGCAAAGCAGTTAGGGTATTTTTCCCCCAGAAGACTTGGAAGGCTATTCAAGAACTTTGTAGCTCCACTGAATAATTGTCTTGCTTTCATCCTAAAATTAATGTTTATGTGTTGTGTATGTAAATACTGCATGAAAATCAGTCTTAAATAAATCAGTTTTGATCACTACTGCTCAAATGCATTTTGCTAGTTTACCTAGTCTGGTCCCTTGCTATCACAGATAGATCATTAGGTATCTCATAAAAGAGCTGCAAAGGAGGAAAGTCCCTCCAAAGCAAAGAATCAGACTTTTACAGAGTCTGAAAAGGAGAAAATTTGCAGTGTTCTATCCCTCTTTTCCTGTGTTGTCTGCCATTCCTTTCCATGCAAGCCTGCTGTGCTTTTGTCTCCAAAAGAAGAGCTGTACCTCAGTATTTACAGGAATTGTGCGGCACTCAGAGGCCATCACTTTCCTTCCTGCTGTAAGGATATAGCCCAAGGAAACAGTACTGAAACAGAAAGACTGTAGCTCATCTTCTGGTTAGATGGGGTTTGTATTGAAGTATATTGCTTCCAAATGCAACCCAGTCTTTTCCCTGCTGAAAGAAGTTCCTGGAGAAATCTGAGTTTTTAGCTTAACACCTCCCATCAAGCAATGGAGCATGAATGGCCCCTACACACCCAAGGGCTTCCCAGGTGCAGTTTAGTTTGGTTTGGCAGGAGGGATCTGGCCCCAGAACAGTGAAAGGAAGTCAAAGCTTCTTGAACCTGCTAACACACTGGAATGTTTTCTGCCACAGATGATGATGGTTTCACTTTCAGATAGCAGAGGACTGGAAGGCTGGAGAAAACTCAGTTCAAAAAAGCTGTGCTGACAGCTCTTTCAAACTACAGAGGGCAATAAAGTACACAGAAATCAAGCTGGTCTGGATCATTGGAAACTGACTCAGCCACTGTAGATACACTGTGTGCTGGTCCCAGAGTGCAGGTCTTGAATTCCAGAATTCTTTTCTAGATATGAATTTTCCAACTTTGAATATAGTAATAAATGCTGCTACAACTCAGTGACTGTTCGAGGGACTCAGTGGCTGCAGTGGCAGAATGGTGACAAAGTTTTATGCTGCACTAGGAGAGGAAATCCAAGTCTTGCCTGGGATGCATGTCAGTGGCCATTTAAAACCACACCAACCACTTCTGAGCACCTGTTTGCATGGGCAGGGAGTCAGCTTGAGCTATGAGTTGCCTCACATCTTGTGTGTCAGTGGTGATGAACATAATTTATTATGCTATCTCAGTGTGCTAACTAAATTTTGCTGCACATCCAGCTCTGATTTTAGATGTCTGAACTCCAGATTTTAGACCATGAACTTAAGTAAAACTTGAACTATTTAAGATAGAAATTTTAATATTTGCACTTCAATGATTTATTGGGTAATGAGGTCCCGTAACCTATCTGTTTCCTGAGAACTGAGTTCCTGCTGAAAACAATCCAAACTTCGAATTGAAAATTTAATTTCCATACAAAAATGTAGTGCCTGAGCATATCCTTGGCAGAAAGTTCTGTTTTAGAATATTTGAGAACACCTTTTTTGTTTGACTGTGTTCACACAGAGTTTCTACTAAATGGAATTGAAAATGCTTTTCCAGTTTTACCCTTGCTCTATTTCTGCCACGTCTAACAAATAGTCAGCTGAAGTATTCCTGAAAGACAGAAAACCCATTATACTTGAATCTTCAGTTAAGAAAATAAAATTCAAAGAAATTGTAGTTTGCTTATACTTTAGATGGGTTCTTCTAGTAGACATATGAAACACTTATTAATATTCCAGACTTTCTTATCCATATTTCTAGTCAGGCCAGTACATATCTTTTATAATCTCATTACTCTGCTGGGACTTCTCCTTGCAATTAACTTCTTAAATGCTGTCTTTTATTTACTTCCAGTCATTATGAGATGACGTCCTGCCCTTCAGCAGGAGTATTTTATACACATGGCTATTTTTTAAAAATTATGCATAGCTAAAATGAACCAATCTGTTGCTTTTTAATATCCAGCTCAACAGTGAGTCACTGCCTGTTCATTACAAGTGGAAGATGCACAGCATGAATGAACAGACATTCAGCTTCCTGGCTCAAGCTCTAAATAAATAAGCTACGCTTTTGGGTTTTTATTTTGGCAGGTTACGTAAAATGTATGAGTACTTTACTCCTGCAAACACCTGAATACCAAAGATAACAGCTTCACTAAAGAAGCACAGCTTTCTCCACATTGATCTCTCCACTGATTGACTGAAAAAAAACCCCAAGGTTTTCTGACCCCAGGGGTTCTCACTGAATAATTTTGGCTGAAATCTCTGATTTTGATGACTAGCCTGGTATGGATCTGTGGCTGGGTTTCGAGGTTCTGGGTTCACTTCCCTCACCTTTTGAAGCTGTTCCACCTTGCACAGGACATTTAACTGTTCAGCCAGGGAAGAGGAGCGAATCACCTGAGGTACTGATGCACTTTGGGTCAGCCACACAGCTGGGATGTGGTCTGAACACAGGAGCAGGTACAGCCACAATGAATTGGGTGCCAGGTGGATTGGCTGCCTGGCAGCACTGCCACATCCCTGGCCAGGTGTGCAGGTGGATAAACCAACCTTCTTCTCCTGAGAAACATCTCCTCCCTCCAGGGTAGAGGTCCCCTTGCTGTGCTGGTGGGCAGCAGCCCTAACACCTCCTCTTGGCAGGCTCTGTGACCACTGCTTTTGTTTAAAAGGCCTCAAATGGAAACAAAACCTTGTTCTCGGCCAGGAGGTTTCCCTCAACCCACCAGGTTATTTTTTCAAATTTGGTCTGTTTCCAAATGGCAGTGTTGACACTCACCCACACTTGGCAGGGGACATAGAACCCTCTTCATACAAAAATGCAAAGAACATTCTTTAGAGCATTCACAAAGATTTTGGCTGTATCCAAACTGTACTAGTTTGCAGACAGGACTTTAAAGATTTTGTATATAACCATTTTGACAAGAATTTTCCCACTGGATTTTGCTACAAACATGTATATTTGGAAGAACTTAAATACGAATTAGTAAATTCTGATAAGAAAACTACCAGAAGTACTCCAAACAAGCAAAATATACAATGTAAAGAAAATTTCACAGTTTTTACTTACTTTCTTTGTTTTGTCCATTGCCTTCAGTATGGTTATATTTAAGTCTTCCAAGACAGATAGAACATTTTCATACTCTCCTAAGTGCTTTGAAAAATAATCTAAAAGAAGAAAAAACCCCACATCACCTACAAATGTCCTCAGAAATCAGTGTCTCATTAAATATCAGCTTTATCAAGTCTGAATTAAGTTACAGCATTATTGAATATCTCAATGCAAAATGAAAAGGAGTTACAATGAAAAGGATAATTTTATTTTTAAATTTTGTATTCTTTCTCTGTAAAATCATTCCTGGCATACTTAAAATACCAAAATCAGTATTTCAAAACATTTTCTTTCAATAAATGAGCTGTCAATTTCACAAGAAATGTAAATGTCATTTTGACAGATGAAACAAACTTATTTTCAAAATATCTACATCTTCTTTGTAAATTGAAATTTCAGTCTAACAGTCTGAAATTACTAGCAGAAAATGAAGTTTTCATATGTATGTGGTGAATTTGATTATATTGAAAAGAAATGAGTAATTCTGGTAGAGCCCTTAGAGGAGATAATATCAAGTGGGGGCTGTTGTGAGGCGGGGTTGGTCGAGAGCAGCTGTTTCTCTGAGAAATGAACAGACCATGAGTTGGCCAGATAAGCTTCTAGTCCCAGGTGCTGTGATACTTTCGACAAATATGATGCATGCAAAATTAATTTTAATGAAAATCATGGAAATAACAAGTTGCAGGATGTCCCTGTGTAGCTTCTCAAAGCAAAGGACTTCTTAACAGAAAAAGCTGATGTAAAATCAGAGGGATCACAGCAGGAGGAGGAAGCAAACCTGGGAAATCATGACCCCATTTCCCATTTGGTTGATGTAGTGAAATACAATAGAGGGAAGTACAGGAAGGAAGCAGTGCGACAAATAAATAAATAAAATTATGTTAAAGCTTAGAGACTGTGTTAGACAAGGCATTTAGATGTCAGATCACCTGGAAGAGCACAAAAATCAACATCTAAGCGGCAGACAGGAAGAACAAGATTAGATAGGAGCTTTTTGAAATAATAAATAGCAACCCTTCAGGGCTTTTAAGAGGTCAGCATGAGCTTCTCAGGGGAATCATGAAAACATAAATTACCAGGAGCACTGTGACGTGACCTGGTATTTCTGAGAGTTTGAATTAAATTATTTAGAATGAAAACGTATTATGAGTTAGTACCCTGGATGTTCTTTTTAGCTTTATTTCTGAGATGAACTGATATAACTCCGAAAGAGTTGTATAATCACAAGCTTGAATATGGATTGAGTAAATTCAGTACCAGATTCAGAGATGAGAAACACCCTTGTGGCAACATTTAAAGGACTTAAAAGGCATTTGAAGCAGCCTGTATTTAATCAAAACAGACAATAAACAGAGTCAGTGCTGGACTGACACCCCCCAGTCCAGCAAGCCTGTGCAACAACAGCTGCATTAAATCCCATGTGGAACAAAACCACCTCTCTTCCTCAGCCAGGTTTATACAATTGTGGCCAGATGCTCAAACAGCAGAAGTTGTCACAGCCCAGTTCACTTCAGATAAGCCTCTTGTCACATATTTATAAGCCACAGGGTGAGGTGGTTTTCAGGGGGTTCTTGGCCATGTCAGCCTGTGGGTGAGTAAACGAGCTGGTATTCAACTTGACAATATGTCCATCTTTTAAAGGTCTTCAACATTGCTGACCACTGGAAAACTTATCAGGCTGCCATGTTTCCCTCAGAAATTGGCTGGTGTTGACAAGTATGATTTTTTTTTCTGACATTTTGTTAGAGAATCTGCAAAAACATTTGTAAATTGTTTTCTGCTACAAGAAGCACTCCTAAATCAGGTGCTCTTAGATAAGCTGGAGAGCAAACAGGGTGTTGGGGAAATGACTCACAGCTCAGAATGAGGTACAGAAATGGGTAATTGGGCCAAAATCTAGGCCTTGCAGGAGTTTTATTGTGACAAAGGATCATAGAACTTGTCAAACTTGCTCTTCTCCCTGGCTCAAGTAGGAGGAAAGTAATGAATTTTCTTTTAGTGGGGGTATATGACAAGTGTTAAAGCAAGAAACTAACTAGAAAAGATATTTCACTCTAAGGGGAAATAAAATACAAGTCATCTATCTATCTATCCATCTATCTATCATCTATCTATCTATCTTTCTGTCTGTCTATCTATCTATCTATCTATCTATCTATTTATCTTGATGTCAATACAGATCTTGAGTCTCAGACAGTGTGAAATACTGATTAGGAAAAACATTTTCAAAGCAATTCTGCACATATGGGATGACAGAGTCTGAAAAGATTATAAGCCATCTGCATTTTCCCAGGAGTTCTCTGAGTGGAAATTATTTTCTGTTTGAGCTACAAAGATTAAGCAGAAAAAAATAATCACATGGCATGTTTATTTGCACAGGGCTGCTGCAGGCATAGATTATGTTCTTTCCCAAAAAAGAACTTACCACAGAGCTCTTCTGTGTCAAGATTGCTGGAAAGATAAGAGTATAGAAGGTTAGTGAGGTTAGTAATGTTTATTTTCGCTGTATTGGTAAATAGCGCAACTCAAATATTAGCCTGACTGGGATATGAACCCCCTGCTTGAGCTGCAGCAGAAGATGCGAGTGCCTGGCTCTTGCTGGCCTTGCTGTGCTGCCTTAGGGCAGAAGGCTGCAGCCTTTCTGAAGCTGGCTGCAGGTTCAGCCTCCATTCCTGAGCCTGTTCCCACTGGCACCTTCCACTCCCTGCAAACTCACTCTCAAGTTCAGCCTTTGTGCATCACAATGCAGTGGCTGCTCCTCAGGCCTTACACATTTGGCCCCAGTTCTGGCAGAAATCCATCTAAACACCAGAAGTTTTTGGTTTGGGGTTTTTTTTCCTCCACCTTTCTGCTTGTACTCCTCTTCTGTGGCTGTCATGCTGGACAGCAAGGCTCAGAGATCTTGGCCTTCCATGCTAAAGAAGAAAAAACCCAATAACTTTCTCCTGTTTGCAATCCTTGCTGTACAATACTGTTCTATGGGAGAGCCTTGCAGGAGGATAAAACCAGACATAGCCCTTGAGCACACATAATTCCTAAGATTTTCTGGCCATGCCAGACCATTTCACCACTACTAACTTTGGCAAAATTAATAATGTGAAAAATATAAAGGTACTGCCATATTCCCATGCCATCATTATATAAATACATAAAGGCAGGGAAATATTCTATTCAATTCAAACCTGTTTGCTTGAAGCAGATTTCATCTTGATCAACTTTGAAGTGATATTTTCTCTCATAAGCAAGGCCTTAATCATTGAAAGAAAAACATATTTGACCTACAGCTCATTACTGAAAGTTAGCACATTGCTTTTCTTCCAAGGAGGAAAAGAAACAGATTATTAAAGAAACTTAAAAGCATGAGTGTCCTCTTTGAATCTTGCTGAGGGGTGAATATTGAACGGCTCACTGCACTTAGTATTTTTTCACTTATCTTTTTAATGGAATTTTTTAATTGACCTTTTAGTAAAATGATGTCACAGTACTATCTTAAAATCACTTTCTCCACTGCTAACTTCCATACATCTGGCTTTTATTTCACAAGGGAGAGAAACTGATAGAAATTGCAGGATCCTGGATTATCACAAACTTGCATACTCAGGGCTATAAAAACTTCTGAACACTTTTAATTGATAATGTAAATGAGATTTTCACACAATATTTATTAATTGAAGGTGATTCTTATCTGCATTCAAACAGGCCAAGTGAGATGGCTGCAAATGAGACTTGCACCTGATTTCTCCAGTGACCTTGGTGGCAGGTATAAAGGAATTCACAGTTTGTAAGAACTGGTGCTGAAGCTGTGAAACTCAACTCTTAGGTAAACAAACTATGTGATGGGGAAAAGTGTCTGCAACTCCTCAAGGCTGTTTACCACAGATCACTGTGCTATCTATGCTCAGATGTGTCTGGCCAACTCTTCTGCAGATCAGCAGTCCATTCTGGAACAGTCCAGATGTTCACCTCTTAAATGCAAACTGAAACCCTGAAAGCTGGAAAATGTCCTGAATCAAAGAGCCTTGACGGGATATGATGAGGTCAAAGGACAGGAGTTTGCTGTTATAATGCCTACTGTTTTTTCATTGTCCTTGCATTTTTTGCTCCTTCACATCATCTGCCCTAATGACTAAATGTAAAAGACACTTCTGCATTTCTTAATGCACAGCTTGATAACTGTGTTTAAAATAGCCTTTCACATTGTTAACCAGTCAAATTCATGCTCTCTTTTCAAATTTTATATTTAAATCCCTTCTGGTCCATGTTCTTTTGTAACATCCTCAGCACCCTGTTAATGACATAGGGAGTGGCTCAGAGGCTTTCAGCATCCCTGTTTTCAGCATGCTGCTTGTCCTATTGACAGCAGTGGCACAGCTGCAAACGGACTACCTGTGAAAATGGAAAAGTATTCAGGTGCTGAATTCATTTTCAGTCACAACTGGACACATGAATAACCAGAAAATATTATCTGAAGCATTTTGTGCATCAAGCCTGTGAAAAAAGCACAGAAAAGGCATAAAGAACGTGGATTTCTGTCTAGCATATTCAGTATGTCCTTCTGTTATAAATACCCTTGGAGACTTCATTGTCCTTGGCATTCTGTTTGAAGGCTGTTCTAGGCAGGGAAGCTATAATTTTGTCATTGATTATTTCATTCTGAAATAATGACATGATGCTTCAAAAACAGTTGTGAATAAACCTTGGAATTCTTTTGCTGCATACAAACAATTTTAATACAGAAATAATTAAAGAAGTTTGGCAAGTATTTAATAGTACAGGAGTGAGGTGCACACCAGAGGGCTGTTTCTGTAACTCAGTACTCAGGTTTACAGCACCACATGTAACTCATTTCAGTGGGTACATATGCCAAGGATGCTTCTGCTTAGACCCATAATCTGGTAATGCTGAACATGTTATTAACAATATTTGCTGGATGACTCACATCCAGGCACCAGCCCTCCACTCATGATAAGCAACCAAAGCATAGGGTGAGGCAAATACTCACATCATGTCAGAATGATAATTCTCAATTTTCTTTCTGACTACTAGATGCAGTCCTGTCTAAAGTGTTCTCTACCTAAAAAAAGCAAGCTATTTTTAAAGGACTAATGCACTGAGCAGTCCTGATCACTAAGAAGTTGATCATATCTATTGGTAAGTGACAGAAAAATAAGCAAATTCACTTGAATGAACCATGGCAAAAGGGCTTATTTGTGGTAACTCTGGAAGTGGTCCAAAATGCAGAACTGCAAAGCAGCTGTGCTTTTGTTCTGCCCACTACAGTTAGCCGTGGACTGGGGGCAGCCAGGGAGGGGAGAAGATTAAAGCTATTCCACTCATCCACTGCTGTAGGTCCATGGATCCATCCACTGACCTGAGACAATGTTCTGTGGTACAAAAGGCACCTCTAGGAAGGGGAACCAGCAGAAGATCCATGTATTTTCCCTGGACCACAAGAAAAGGCAGTGTCTTACAGAGCATGGAGTCTGATATATAAAGCACTTATTTTATTGAAAAATCCAATACTATATTAATAAAAACTGTATGACTTTAGGAAAACATTGCCATGAATAACAGCTGGAAAAGGATAACACTTTCTTCTTCAGATTTCTCTTTATTCTCAGATATGAGAAGTATTTCTCTCAAAAGCTTGAACTATCTTTTCAGTCCCATTTGCATGTCTTTTTGCTAAATTTGGTTTTAGGGATGAAAGTTTGAAGCTAGTATAGCCTATTGTTAAGTAGAAGTATATAATTGGTGAGTGAAAGGAATTCAGCACTACTTAAACTATGCAAGGGTAACTGAACAGGCATCCATGGACAACCTCAGCCAAAAAGCTGTAAGGTCTTTGCAACAAGAAACCCTGTGCACTATCTCACTTCAAGTCAGCAAAGTAAGGTAACTGCTCCAGCACTACTGAGGGTGTTTTGCAAAGGAGTCTTATGTGTGCGCTTCCATTTTAAAGATTTTCTGCCTCACAGCTCCTCTGCAACAGCAACAAAACACCTTTTGTTCAGGTTTGTTCAAGGTTTCTTACAGGAGAGGTAAAACTGCTTTCAGTAAGATGCAGTGCTGTAAGAAGCTCAGGCGTTGGCCTCTGGTCACAGAAAAGGGAGAGGAGGAAGAGGGGGCAAAAGTGGGACAAAGCTTTAGTCCCTGGGGAGACAAACTTCCTGCTGCCCCCAGGACACTGCTGCTCTTCAGTCCCAGATCCATCTGGCCTGTGCACCCTCTGGGCTCCCAAAGGCAGCAGCCAGCTTGGCTCTCTGGGCTCTGACATGGGCAGCGGGCTCAGCTCTTTTACTATCTCACATTTTGCTTCACTAAATAATTGCCTAGTTTGCTTAGCTCCAGGCTAAGTGATAACTTCAGAAACATCGCTTACTGCTCTGCCTGTGACAGGACCGAAGGAGAGAATAAAGGGGTTTTTTTCCTGACTAAGAACTCATCTGAAAAAAACAACCCTCTAGTTCTTTGCATTAAGCAGTGACTCACAGGGATGCTATGACTACACAGCTGACAAGTCACCTTAATCGTCCCAGCTATAACAGCCTTTGTGTTGCTAAAAGAGGCTTAATAGTGCTATTAAAACTTGTGATCTATGCTAAAATTTGTAGAACACTGTACAAGGGCTGCAGAGGTATGATTTTTTTGCAGAGTCTGAATGACACAAACCTAAATGAGGAAATTAGATGCAGCATCACGGTGGCTCTTTTGCCACAGAGAGCAAATATCAGAGCTTTCACCCTATAGGAGAGGACGATGTTTCAATTTATGGTTTTGTCACAAAATGATTAAAAAAAAACCAAAAAAAAAACAACCCAAAAACCCAAAGAAAGCCCCCCCAAAACCACTGAAACTAAATTATTTATTCTTAGACAAAATAAAATGTTTACTTTTGTTTCTTACACTCCTTGGAAATGTACAGGAGCAGGCAATTCCAAAATGTCAGAAATCAAGCAAACAAGGCAGAAGGTCAGCTTTGCTGAACAGGCATCTTCTTTTGGAAAAGGAAGGTGTGTGCCCAATGTAAGCAAGGACAGGTGACATGGGAGAAATACAGAGAAACAGCTTGCCAGTGCAGGGAGAAAATTCATACGGCTAAAGGACCAACCTGCATTGAAACTGCCCAGAAATGTGTGAGAAAACAAAAAGCTATTTAAAATACATTAATGGCAAAAGGCAGCATAGAAATAACATCAGCCTGTTACAGGATGAGGATGGGCACCTCACAAACAGGGACATGGACAGGGCAGAGGTGTTTAATGCATTCTTTGCCTCTGTCTTCAACACAGATGATGGACCAAGGGGGTCTCAGTGCTTGGAGCTGGAGGACCATGGCTGTGAGAATGTTTGACTCCCAGTACACCCTGAAATTGAGTGGGATCTGCTGCTTCAGCTGGATCCCTACAAATCTATGGGGCCTGGTGGAACTCATATAAGAATCCTCAGAA